GACTGCTTCTCTGTGTGTTTCTCTGCAATTTCAGCAACAGTAATAATGTAAGTCAAAGAGTAAAGGGGGAGAGGGAGAAAGTGAGAGGGCGGAGTAAAAACAAAGCATTTACCATTAAACACAACAAACAACTCCCAGCCCAGATGCCACTAATTTACCTCCATCCTCCCGGGGTTTTAGTCCACACTATTCCTCCTCTCTGATCCCTCGCTTCGCTCTGACAGCCACTTTTCCTCTTCCTTCTTCAGCTCTACACTAATCCCCTCCCAGCTATAGAGACAGGATGTTTAGGGGCTTATTTACTCTTGTAAAAATATGGCTTTTTCACAGCTTCCTTTGAAGAGACCTCGTGCCACAGTGATGTGTATGATGCGAGGGTTGATTCTGCCTTCAGAACAAGCTGTGAAGGGTTTTTGATCTTTGAACTGAGATGTGAACATTGTTGTTTCTCAAGAAAAAAAAAATAACCAAGTTACTTATTCCACTAGTAAACACAGAGTAAGGCTTTTGATCTGATTCATGAATGTAGGGTTCCATTGCTAGCACCAATAGTGTACACTATCTCATGTTAATATGTACATTTGACCTTTTTAAGAACCCAAAAAGTCACCATATTTGCTCTGAAGATATATGAAATATCCGTCGATCATTATCAAGTGATGTTTAGAGGCATTATAAATTGTTTATAACTCTAAAGATGTTGGACCAGACTGCACTAATGTTTCGCTCATGTTTTATGAATGATTTGTTGGAACATTTGCTGGTACATCTGTGAAACAGGGATATTCAGGGACTTTTAAGCCTGAAAGAAATGAAAGTCTAAAAAAGATGTATAAGCAGTGTTTTTCCCATGAGGTGATGTATGTGAACAACAGTACCAAGTATCTGCTTTCTGTATGCAGTCTGGCTCGGTTCTGAATAAATACCAGCCGTTGAGCCTTTGAATTAAGAATTAATTAATTTCTCACAGCTGATATTTAGACTTGTCTAATACAAGTGTAACTAACTAACTACACACATGCTGACATCATTAACGCCATCATAAATGTGCAGTTTGGATCGTCACATCAAAATGTCTACTAAAAAAGTTAATAATAATTAAACTCTACTAATGTTTGTCGTCCAGTTCTGCACATTCCAACAATGCAATGACAATAAATGTTAAAATTAGAATCCTGTCCTGGTTGACGTTGGCGTTATTTCAAAATACTTTTCTGATTATATACACCGATTCAGCCATAACATTATGAGCACTGACAGGTGAAGTGAATAACAATGATTGTCTTGTTTGGGGTGGTGATTGGTGTTCATGTAACCGGTAAAAAACAAAAATAAACAACAAAATAACAATATAGTGTATGATCCAATTTTAAGTCACCTATTCTCTTACAAATTCATTTGAAAAAATATTTTTTGTATAGTCAACTCATTCATCATTACATTTTTGGTTGGTAGGCTTATTAACTTTCATTATAGTCAGTCTTACCTTGACGGATTTTCTGTCTTCCTCTGTAATGTTTTCTCTTCATGCTGCAATGCCAATGTTTTTGTCTAGCAGCCGTGACATACCTGGGCTAATCAAGTGTCACACTCCTCTCCTCTCAGCAATTAGAAAGACTGAAAAATGGTTACTGTTCCCTCCAGTGTCCCGTTTGATTCTTCCTCGCCTCCCGCAGCTTGTTAAATTTACATTTTATGCATTAAGCTACCGCTTTTACCCAGAGCGACTTACAGTAAGTGGAGACGGTAAGATAAGTCAACATCAGTGAATCGCTGTGATACTCCATTAGGTCATTCATATACATATATATATATATAAAAAGGTTTGAGTCAAATTTTATTCATCTCTGTCTGGTGTGGAAATAGCTTCATTTTCTGGCACAGGTAGCCTTTTTTTAAGTGGTGTTGGAACAGGAGAGCCACAAAAGAGGTTGGTTATACTATATATGTGTGTATATATACACACATATGGGACCTTTTCCAAGCAGTAGAAAGCATTATGGTGTAATAAATGTTATACTCGTACCATATATTCATATGTATATATGTGTCTTTGTCCACATTTGAGAGTTTTATATACATCAACAACCACAGCAACAAACATACATCAAGAAAAATTGTAATGTCACCGAAATCATTATAAGAACTTCCCTCTGTGAGTCTAGCGAGGAGCGCAGCGTGGTATTGTAGCTAATTCCACTAGCTGTAACATAAAGTGACTCATTCATAACCCAACCTACCCCAGGTATGGTGATTATATTCTTTTCATCCCTCTCTTTCCTGCTTCCTCTTCCTCCTACCTCGTCCTCTCTTTCATCTGTTCCTGACCTATAAGTTCATAGACTGTGTCTGCACTGGAGCTGAGGTGAATTGATTCGGCGATGTATTTTCATGTCAGGGCCTTGACTTTTTAGCCAGAGGGGGAGAATTGCCTCTTTTATATCCAGTTCTTCATGTGAGGTGAAACAGGGCTGCCAGAGTCTCATTAGATTTGCAAAAACCAATATCTGAGGCTCGAGTGCCTCCGAGTGTTTCTTGACTTTTATTTCCTTTTTTCGGGGGAACACTTAGGCCTGAGCGAAATGAAAGGGGGGCATTGGAAGAAAAACAATAGAGAAAGAAAAATCAATCGGCCCCACCCGCATCTGTTCCATGCCCCCCATCTGATCAGATATTCACCCATTCAGGCATGTTTCGATCGCTTCAGAATTTTTTTTGAAGTGTACTGTCCAATTCGTTTTAGAGTGTCTGGGAAAATTATAGTTCACATTCTTCAAGACCGCTCTCTAATCTCATTGAGAGAAAGGGAGATGCAGAGAAAGAGAAAAGGAGAGGCAGAGATAGGGGAGGATAAAGACAGGAAAAAAGACATATTGGCATGTCAACAGTCGAAACGCATGATGAGTTCGTCTGACTGATATTGACTGCCAACTTATTAAACAAAGCACACAAGAGCTGTGACCACCAACAGTGCAACCCACTTATCTGCTCATAATAGAAATGCAGAAAGCATAATGCAACAGCAAACCCTTTACAAACAATCACTAGCTATGACAAATTGCCACCTCCAAATTGGTTGTTTTACACCACATTTTGCTGCATGCATTTTGCTAGATTAGCAGTAAAAGGCAAGGCTTAAAGGTAAGCCTGTTAAGTAAGGCAGAATGCTTATGGTACACCTGATCTGTTCCTCTCAGTAACCACCCGAGAACTGAGGAGTTGTACTTACAGTGTACAGTCATCCAAAGCGTATACTGGGATAGTGAAGCACAAACTTTACTGTAAATTGCACGTCTTACAACTTTCATCCTCTAAAAGCTGCTGAAATTTGTAGATATCTAACATATGCATTGTGACATGCAGATTTTGTACAATTCCATAGCACACTGCGATAACGATATACAGTCCAAAATAATTACAAGCTTATTGAAATTTGAACAGATTCATCTGTTATTTATCAATCCTGGATTGTGCTCAACCAGCTATTCAAAGGATGAATAAAGACTGGTCTAAGTTCTTAAATGCTAGTTTTAACCAGTAATTTATTAAGTCAGTTTGCACCAAGAAACCTTTGGAGCACTATTATTGTTGCTACAAAAATTGGCAATTTCAGTTACTTTGGTCCATGGAAGGTAATGCTCAATCGAAAAATAATTTCTGTTGAGAATTTGTGCTCTGTGTTCGACAGAGGAGCCAGTATGAATGGCCTGGATTTGAACTCCAGAGTGCCCTTGTGAAGTATGTAGTAAATGTAGTAATAAGTGCTCATATCCACAGTGCAATTTTGATTTAGTAGAAGCAAAGTGACCTTTTCCTGAACTTGCAGTAAAGTGTTTGGTAGCAACTGAACCTGAATCCGTGTAACAATTTAAATATCTTAAAATTCAGTTTGACCGCTTGACTTTGTCCTATAGCACAGTTTACCTATCCAATCCCGTCATCAGAAAATGAATAAAAAAGGAGACAGGGAATTGAGGGAAAGAAAAAGAGGGGAGAGAATGAGCAAATGGCGAGCAAGAGTGAGGAGGGTTTCTGTCGAATGCTCAGCCATCTCCAAACATGTCAGAAATAGGGAGCAGACTTGGAGGAGATGGCTGGCAGAGAGGCAATCAATAAACTCTCACATTTCATACTGCAGTGTGTGTGTGTGTGTGTGTGTGTGTGTACATGTGTCTGCCGTCTGTATTTATGTGACTGCGTCTGTGTTTGTTATAGCAAATTTTCGAACCAGCTCGTTGTAAGCAATTCTACCAGACTGATGAGACAAACTGTCACATTCCCGGCTGACACCCTCGGCTCATTCAAACCTCTGTATCACCAGGGAAAACACAACATCAGTCCAAATTAACATATGTTCTGTGATGCTTTAAAGTTCATAGGCTCTCGTAAAGATTATGTTTTGTGGATTGAAACAGATTCTCCTCTCAGTTCAGTCCAGGCTAATTTGTTGAACACACGGCCATATTTTCTGCTACGGAGCTGTCCTCTGTACCATAAACTGAACTCATTCTGAAGTAAAAATTTAAGTATTCTGCAAGTACACGTCAGTAGCCAATTAATCTTCACTGTAGCCAGTCCAGGAAGTGTCTCTTGATGGCATGATAAATCAAAAGCTTGGTGCACTTCTCTGTGCTCAAAGTTTGGAGAGAGCTTCTTGTGTTCAGCCATATTGATTGAACCGTCCAGGGTGTTGAGGGAGGTATACGCTGACACAGTTTCAGGGTGGACTCACATTAAAGCCAATTAGTTAGTTGCTACGGCCTAAAGGTGGACTAAGAGTGAACAATTATAAATTCTCTGTTCTGTCCTTACTGAATCTTTAATGATGCGATACCATCACCTGTCCTGTGTAATTGATTGCAATTGATCTGGTTCAGTGATGACCTTGGCTTTACAGTATCTCCTATCTTTTCTCTTTTCTTCCCCACACATTCCCTCCTCTCCTCTTTTCCCCTTTCCTCTGCTGTCTTCCCCTCTCCTTTCATCTCCTCTCCCACCAGGCCTGTAGATTCTGCTGAAACCGCCCGTAGTCCTTTTTGCAACACTGAAAAGCAACGACTTATCTCCCCCACGCAACCCAGGCTTAGGAGAGAAGAAGAAGAAGAAGAAGAAGAAGACGAAAAAGAAGATGAAGAAGCGAGAAGAAGCCTTCTCACCACAACAAATCAAAGATGAAAATACACACAATCCCCACCGGCACAACACCACTCGGCATTTTTTTGTAAAGTTTCTCACTTATCTCTCTTGCCACTCTCGTCTCCTTCTCTTCATCTTTACTTTCCGTGCTGCATCTGTCCTGCCCCACTCCAGTCCACTCTCATCTCATCTCCCCATGTTCTCCCGACTCTATTTGACTCTCTTTGACTTTTTTCTCTATCTTTCCTCTCCCCTGTACACTTCCTCCACAGTCATCAATTATTCCATTTGTTTCTTTGCACTTTTCATTGTATTCCATTTTGGCACCGCACCATTACACTGGCAGACAAACACTGGGTGCCACATCCGTAGGAGATACTTGAAACATGTATATTGATATTGTAAGAAAACAAAAGCTATAAATCAATTTCATCTTGGATCTCACCTCAATCCTTTGGTCCTTTTCCTCAGTTCATCTGAACCTCTCACTCAATCTACAGCATTCCTTTCCTCCCCTTTTCCTCTTTCTTATCATAGCTACCTCTATTCCTCTGTTGTCTTTTCCCCTCTTTCACCATCCCCTTGCATAGACATTGTCCCACTATCTATCTGCCTCTCCTCCCCTGTCCCCCCTTCTATCTTATCGACCTCTCTCTGTCTCTTGGTGGGCCAGTGAACACTGCGAAGGCTGAGCTACTGTCCTGGTCGGGGAAGAGCATTGACTTTTTGATGTGTTCCTTTCTTTTCTCGTCACAGACTGTGTTTGATCTTGTTTCCCTCTTTAAGCGGAGAGAACAAAGCCTGTTTCTTTGTCTGCAGTGGTTGTGGTCTTTTAGGGCAAGGTGGTAGCCATAAGCCTTCAAAGTCAGAAACTCTCTGGAGTCCTTTCTTCGATTTGCTTCTGTTTTTATTGCATTAGTTGTCATGGAGTGGAAAACAGTATATCTTTATAGTAACGGTGTAAACCTTAAAAAAAAGTACTATTATATAAATATTTTATTTTTTACCATTGTATAAATATACAGTATTGATTAACTTATGTACTTTGATTGCAAGTTTTTTGGTCACCCACACAGTGAGTAAATAAAAAAGAGGAAACCTTTTTTCTGTGGATTTTAGGCACTATTTCTAATGCTATTGATGTGTTGACTATTTTATTGTAACATCTTTTTTTGTTTTGTTCATTTTTTTATTATTATTTTTGAGATCTGTGATAAATTGCAGAATCAGGAGTCTTGCTTTGATGACTGCCATGTGTTTAGGTTCGATTTTGTCTCCAGTCAATTCTGCCCTCTCCTGTTCTCTCTCCATCTGTCATAAACAAGTCACAAGAAGACGTGTAAGAAGAAAACAAAGGCTGTGGTTTTGGTGGATAGTTTCGCTTTTTTCTCTTGTGCTCATCAAAAGAACGTAGCGTGTGTGGGTTTGTGTGGAAGACCACCTTAAAGAAAAAGATGACATTTTGAATGAGTTATGTCTGTCTTTTGCACTAATTTAATAAAGCCGTTACTGAAAATTCCCACATGGCTGTTTTGTAGATTGTGTGTTCAATGAAAATGTCATTTGATCTCTAGCAAAAAGAGTTGTACACACATTTACCACAAGTGTGAGTATGTGTAAATGCCATTTACATTTACATCCCATTCCTGAATCTTAGTTGATCACACTTAAGAAAAAGTTTGACACAAAAAATATGCTTATTCTCACCCAAGGTTAGATGAGTAGATACCACTCCAGTCTTTGTCTGTTAAAAACAATTATTATCGCAAGCTTTGCTAACTAGTATCAAACATTTTTATTCTCACAGGTTAATCAGACTTTGATCCTGATGATGCTCCAATCCATTTCTCCTCTGTCTGTTCTCTGCTGGTGAAGGGTGCCTAATTCAGCGACTCAGCTTAAAGCAGTAAAGTCATGATAACAACAAGATTCCAAGAAATCACTGCTCCCTGCTGAGAAACAGCCTGGCACATAACTCCCTGTAAAGCCCATTATTTTTCTACTTTTTTGTACAGATTTAAACATTTAGATCTAAAGTATTAATTAGGGAGCTTTAGACGGGCTGCTAGTCACAATTTCTTAATCCTTAAGATTAAGATTAGGCTAGCTGTTTCCCTCTTGTCACAGGGATTCCCCATAACCTCTAACTTAAATAAGTCACAACATATAGTGCTTGTCCACCACAGTCACTTTTATATGCCATGCAGCCGACAGGTGTCTGTGCTGTTTAGTAATTAGTACAGATTAAGAGTTGAAACCTGTCAATAGAGCACAGATACATGAGATCTTGAAGAAAAGCCTGACAAAATACTAGTGTTTTACTTAAAGGGCATAGACCGTTCATTTCTTATACATTTAATAGTTTTTTCCTAGACTTAGATCTATCTATGTAGGGTCATACTAAATAGACATACATGAGTGGTATGAATGCTTCTATCTTTTGCAATAAAGAAAAGAAAACATATTTCCCACAATGTCAAACCTTTCCCAAAAACACAACATCTGGAGGCTGGTTGCCAGATCGATTTGTTTTGATTGATCAGCTAATGATTAGATGTAACTTACATGTAACTTTATTGCTTGTAATGTTCTTGTACTGCATTGCCTATGATAATTTAGCAATTAAACAATGCAATCTGATTTTTCTTGGATTTTCAGTGACACAGACTTTTTTTTCCCTAAAGTTACTCTAATCAGTATTTTTATATGGATGAAATGAGCATGCATGACATGAAATAAACACAAGCCACAGACATTTGTCACTAAAGATCTGAAGAGCCAGATCTTTCTCTCAGGTGGAAAAGGACCTCAAAGGAGAGTGAATATCCAGTCCCTCCAGGAAGTTCCGATGTTGTGACCGCAGCAATAACGCAAATTCAACTAACCCCTGTGAATGCTGTGCTACCATGAAATTTGTCTGATCACCACATTTTTTTCAGGAAATTTGACCAATCATTGTAGTTTCCTGTACAAAACATTGAGCTATTCATCTTCAAACTCATGCAACATGAACATGCAGACCATGCAAACATGCAATGCAATCGACTCACATTCACGCAATTTCACTTTCTCCTGCAATGTCACTGCAAAAAAATGCATTGCAGTTTTTTAAATCCTGAAGTGACACACAGCCCTCAGTGAATGCAGATGTTTATCAGCTGGATGGGGAAACAAGAAACTGCTTAAATCAACTTTATAAGGTGATAATATTTCGATGTTGTGTTTACTGCTTGTCTTCTTTGGCCAAAACAAACAAATATTGCAATTTTAACTTGTTCAGACACAGATCTTTTTTCTATTCTCTCTTCATTTTGTTTCAAACAAACTGCTGTTGCTGCAGGACACAACTCCAACCCACAGAGAAATTTCTGGGAAAGATCATTCTTGCAATGGATGTTAGAAAAGCTTTTTTCTATTGGTTAAAGGTTAAGTCAGCATGGAGTGACATGAGCAACTGGGTTATTATGTAATTAACTGAATAATTATGAAGCCTATCGAGAAATTCAGAAACATAGTATAGAAGTCCCTGTTACAAACTAAGACCAATTTTCTGCCCAAACACCTCAGGGTGCAGTTATTGCTCAGAGATTTAAAAGGTCAGTCACGTAAACCATGTTGACGTGTGTTTTTAAAGTAATCAATAAGATCTCAACACTGATTCTAAAAGGCACTTTTAGCCTTTCTGAAACCAGTGCAGAGACACTCAAAATTGAGCAGATATGATGAGAGTAGTCTGAGGCCGAACCTCCTTGGCAACATTTTGAATAAGCAGCAATGGCAAAGAGCAGTTTTGACACAGTTAAGAGACTTATAGAAAATAAATCCATGGATGAGCTGAAGGCTGTGATATTAGTGCCAAATATCATTAATTTCCAAAATGTTTGATCTGCAGAAACAAACAGACATGCAACCCTAGATTTGCAGGTGTAATTGGAAACAGCAGGTTGTCAGACCTATAGTTAGTTAGTATACTGATCCTATTATTCTTTATCATTGTCTTTTTTGGTATCTAAAAGACACTTAAGGCAGACTGTCAAGAGAGCTGACAAATGGGCTTTGACATGTTTTATCCACACAAGATAAAATAATGAATATACTACCCTGAAATTAATATGTGAAAGTCAGTGCGAGCTATATCAAACCTTTGTTGGTTTAAAGTAGGCTGTCAAAATTCACCTCTGAATCTATTAATCTTCTGTGACCATGGAGTGGCAGGGTATCGAGGTTAGAGGGCTTTGTCATGGTCATGATACAAAACCAAAAGGAAATTGATGTTGTAAGGAATGAAGGATGACTTCTGTTTGAGGTGCCACGGTGGTTGCCACAAATAAGCAGGCAGCATTGATTGCCTTGAGAGGCACACAGTGTTTTTATTCTCATACCTAACAAAGCTTGTTGATGCACAGGTCCAGATTACGGTATAAAACAGTGATCCAGTTAAGAGTGTAAAAGGTTCTATTAGAAACACGGGTGCAGGCCTTGGAAAGGCAGGCATAGCAGATAGAATAAGTAGCCTACAATGTATTCTTCAAGAATGTCTAACTGCCTAACACAGACATAACCCATGGTGAGTTGTGTCCAAAAAAACCCGTTAAGGGGTGTCAGAAGTTCTTTGTGTCCTTTGGTCACTGGAGGAGGGAAAGATATTTCACTATTTAGTCTTCTATTCCTTTTATCAGCAAATCTATTCTAGCTGGAGAGGGATGAAGCAGTTTGTCAAGGAGTGTGCCTGCCCTAGCCTAGACAGAAGGCTAATGTGAGATTCAAGAAGGAGCCAGTCTGTTCATAGTGGCCAGGGTTGTTTGTGGGCAATTTTATACATTTAGTAAGGAGGTGACAGGAAGTTAAGGTACAGTATATGGTATGTGTAGTAGAAAAATATTGAATTCAATGGAAAAGTACTTGTGTTGAGTTATAGTTGACCTCACTTTGACCTAATGTTATTAGATGTGCAACTGAGTACTTAGGTTTACCATTTATGGTGTTGCTTTAGTACTATAGAACCTGCGTTCTATGATATGGAAGGCTTTATGTGTATTTGTGTGTCAAGAGTGAACACAAAGCATCTATGTCTGTTCAACTGCACTGAATGTATAAATAGAGACTGAGAGATGAGGAAGTGCTCTCAGCCTGATGCACCTTCTGGAAGGCTGTTGGCCCACTTGCAGGTGTTATAATAAAACTTCAGAAAAGACACTCTCTGGTTTGTGAGTCCTTTTATTAGAGAAAATCCACCAAAGTCATAATAATTTATATAGATAGATGCCGCTGCCTATCCCCTGATGTAGTTGGACATCATTTATGACAATAGATTTCTATGAACAGGAGACTGTCTAGGAACATCTCCCTGAGTGAGGGCATGATGTCCTATCTGATGGAGTTTAGCCTACTTGATATCTATAAGATAGTTCCCACCGAATGTATTAAACCCAAGGCAGTCCCAAGGTGATGTTGTTATTGTTCTTTATCTTTGAGATCAAATTGCTCTATGTGCTCAGCAACAAGAAGATATGTTCTCCATTTTTGATGATAGGTAAATTGGCCTTCTAACAATACACCTGGCCCTAATGTATGTAAATAAAGGTGCACCAGTGAAACCTGAAACGATGGAAAACTATGTAGAAAATGTGATCAGTTATTTTTGTTTTTGTTTCATGCGTTCATTTGACAAATGTTACAGTCACCTCATCGCGCTACACAGATCTGATGTTTCATATGCCGCAAATTTTTTTTCTCCTTAATGGAGCTGAAACTTCAGTGTGCATTTTGGTGCTTCGTGCACATCGTGATTTATTTGCTAAGTCTGTTTCTGTTTCACTGTCACATTTACAAAAGGGCACTCCACAGCTGTTAATACGTCCAGTGTAATCGCTGCCTAAGATGACTCAGGGAAAGTGGCAATTGTATTGATGGTCTTGTTGTTGGGTTATTAGAGGTATAATATAGGTATTGTAGGTGAAGTTGACAGCAGCTCCCTCTTAATAGTGAGAAAGGTGAACTAAGACAGTAGTTATAGGTAGATGGTGCACTTTAAGCAATCATGCAGGGAATAAATGCCAGTTGGGCCCCAAGAGTTTAGCCTAGCCATGCATACATGGGACCTTTTACACGTAAAAGATCAAGCCATTCTGTTTCAACACATTGATCTGAGTTGTGGAAATGAAGTGTTTTCTAACCAAAGCTACTATCTAGGGCCCCATATGCAGTAGGGAAGCAAGCCGCAGCATGGATTATGTCTCCCATGGAAGGTCTGTCGGTCTTCATGTCCATTTTGTCCTTGCCCGTTAAAGCATCAAGGACAAATTTGAGCTTGTCCAGAGTGGTAATGGAAGACCGTTCATTGTTTCTTCTTGTCATCTCGGTCAAGGTGGAAATATTACCATGGGATGACAGCTGAACCAATAGTGTTACTCACAAGATCACACACGTATCCATCTTGCGAGGCCTCAGTCTATGTGTTTGTGGCTGGTTCAGTGGTAGTGGACCAATCCGCATCCCTTGAGGAAGTAGGGT